GGGGAGGGGACCCGAGGGGAGGTCAGAGTGCAGTCCTGTGTGTTGCTGGGCTGAGGCCTCAAAAGGGAAGTGTGGGTGGTGGGTAAGGAGATGCCCCATTTCTAGAGGGTCCAGAGTAGCACAGGAAATGCAGTCAGAGCTGACAATTCCATAGATTGGCAGGGGGGAAGAAGTTAAAGGAAAAAATACAGTTAGGGGACAAGTTCTGTTTTGGGGGGCCAAATTCTCAACCAGTTCTTAACTGCTCATGTGTTTTTTTGGTTTTTTTCCCTGAGGAAGTACCTTCTTTTGTTTCCAGTCAAGCTTTTATGCACTCCACATTCATGAAAGATTTTGGAACAGGGTCTCACTATGTGCTCACAGGCTACAGAACTTGCTCTGTAGCCCAAATGGGGTTCCAACTCAAAATCCTCCTGCTGGGGCCAGAGAAATAGCTCAGTAAAATAAGCACTTGCCTGGCAAGGGCAAGGGCCTGAGTTCAATCCCTGGTTCCAGGGGGAAAAAAAAAAAATCCTCCTGCCTCAGCCTCCTGAGTGATAGGTTTGGGCCCTAGTGTAAATTGCTAAAATTTTTTTTTTTTTTTTTTTTTTTTTTTTTTTTGCAGAACCGGGGATTGAACTCAGGCCCTTGCACTTGCCCGGGAAGCGCTTATTCCACTGAGCCATCTCCCCAGCCCCTTAAAATTATTGTGGTAGTCATCTAATATGGCTGATGCTCTTAAAATGAAGGCCTATGATCCCAGGATCACCTCCCCCTTCTTCTCCAACTTAGCCCAGGACATAATTTACTTCCACCCTTCCCACCGCCTCAGGGAAGACCCCCAATCAGCTCCCTCAGTATATCTAAACATCCCCTCCAAACCCCTCCCCCACAAAAGGCCATAAAAGCCTCGGCCTCCCTTTGTCTAACCCAGAGAGAAAATTCCTCATCCTTCCCCACATTCTCTCCTTTGTCCTCAAAGAAAATAAAGCTCCTTTTCCTTTTTTCTTCTGTCTGTTTTTCTGCTGTGCTGTTTACCTGAAAAACACTTATCACTCACTGAGTACTGGGATTATAGGTATGTGCCTCCATGGCCATTGATGTCCTGGTTTTTGCTACCCTAGAACTAGCACTCATAAATACTATAGAAAGATAATCCCTGGATCAACACTGGCTAAAAAGTTGGGGCCGGCGAGATGGCTCAGTAGGATAAGCACTTGACTGGCAAACGCAAGGATCTGAGTTCAATCCCCGGTTCCACCAAAAACAAAACAAAAAATAAATAAATAAACTAAAAAGTTGCCAGGTAAACTGGGCATAGTGGCGCATGCCTGTAATCTCAGCACTTGAGAGGCCGAGAAAGGAGGATCACCAGGCATTCACCAGGTGCTCAAACCCAACTTGGATTATCCAGTGAATTCAAGGTCAGCCTGAGCTACAAAATGAGACTGTCACAAACAAACATATTTTTTATTTTTATTTATTTATTTATTTTTGGTGGAACCGGGGATTGAACTCAGTCCCTTATGCTTGCCAGGGAAGCACTTATTCCACTGAGCCATCTCCCCGGCCCCAAACATATATGTATATATACATATATACATATATGTTTGTGTGTGTGTGTGTGTGTGTGTGTGTGTGTGTGTGTATTAATGGTCATCACTCAGGGAGCTAAATCACACCACGTTCTGAGCAGGGCATGGTGATCCATGCCTGTTATCCCAGTTAATCCAGAGGTTGAGTCTCAGTGGGGGAGCACCCCAGATTCAATCCCCTGTATGTGTGTGTGGGAAGCTTAGTCTGTGCAGTCAGATGCGTTTGAATGAAAAAAGAGAGGGTTCAGGGAGTACATTCAGTAGGATCCCATTTGTAGTTAATGAAAATAAAATGGGGGGGCTGGTGAGATGGCTCAGTGGTCTAAAGCACCTACTTGGAACAAGCTTAGCAAAGCACAGGGACCACGGTTCAATCCCCCAGCACCACAT